AACTTAAAAATGCTATCAATGAGATCCAATCTAATCTAAATAATCTAACAGCTAGGGTAAATGAGGCAGAAGAATGAATTAGTGATCTAGAAGACCAATTGATAAGAAAGGAAAAAAGGAGGCCAGGGAAAAACAACTCAGAATCCATGAAAATAAAATCAGAGAAATAAGTGACACAATGAAACGTTCCAATGTCAGAATTATTGGGATCCCTGAGGGGGTGGAGAGAGAGAGAGGACTAGAAAATATATTTGAGCAAATCGTAGCTGAGAACTTCCCTAATCTGGGGAATGAAACAAACATTTGTGTCCTAAAGACAGAGAGGACCCCTCCCAAGATCAAGGAAAACAGGCCAACACCCCGGCATGTAGTAGTAAAACTTGCAAATCTTAGAACCAAGGAAACCATCTTAAGGGCAGTTAGGGGGAAGATATTCCTTACGGACAGAGGGATGAACATCAGAATAACGTCAGACCTATCCACAGAGACCTGGCAAGCCAGAAAAGGCTGGCAAGACATATTCAGGATATTAACGAGAAGAACATGCAGCCAAGAATATTTTATCCAGCAAAGCTGTCATTTACAATGGATGGAGAGATGCAGAGCTTCCAAGACCGGGAAAAACTGAAAGAATATGCTACCACCAAGCTGGCCCTGCAAGAAATATTAAGGGGGGCTCTATAAAATGAGAAAGACCCCAAGAGTGATATACAACAGAAATTTATAGGAACAATCTATAAAAACAAGGTCTTCACAGGCAACATGTTGACAATAAATTCATATCTCTCAATAATCACTCAACGTGAACGGCCTAAATGCTCCCATAAAACGGCACAGGGTTGCAGATGGGATAAAAAGATAGGACCCATCCATATGCTGTCTACAAAAGACTCATTTTGAACCTAAAGATACATCCAGACTGAAAGTGAAGGGATGGAGATCCATCTTCCATTCCGAAAGACCTCAAAAGAAAGCTGGGGTAGCAATTCTTATATCAGACAAATTAGATTTTAAACTAAAGACTGTAGTTAGAGACATAGAAGGATACTATATCATTCTTAAAGGGTCTATCCAACAAGAAGATCTAGCCATTGTAAATATCTATGCCCCCAACATGGGAGCAGCCATCTACATAAGCCAACTGTTAACCAAAATAAAGAGTCATATTGATAACAATACGTTAATTGTAGGAGACCTCAATACTCCACTCTCAGCAAGAGACATATCATCCAAGCAGAAAATCAACAAAGAAACAAGAGCTTTGAATGGCACACTGGACCAGATGGACCTCATAGATATATACAGAACATTCCACCCTAAAACAAGAGAATACTCATTCTTCTCGAGTGCACATGGAACTTTCTCCAGAATAGATTACATACTGGGTCACAAATCAGGTGTCAACTGATACCAAAAGATTGAGATTATTCCCTGCATATTCTCAGACCATAATGCTTTAAAACTGGAACTCAATCACAAAAAAAAAAATTGGAAGAAATTCAAACACTTGGAAGCTAAAGACAAAACAAATTCAAGAATGTTTGGTTCAACCAGGAAATCAAAGAAGAACTTAAACAATTCATGGAAACCAATGAGAATGAAAATATATCAGTCCAAAACCTATGGGATACTGCCAAGGGGGATCTAAGGGGGAAATACATAGCCATCCAACCTCACTCAAAAAAAATAGAAAAATCCCGAATTCACCAACTAACTCTACACCTTAAAGAACTAGAGAAAAAGCAACAAATGATGCCTAAGCTGCTCATTAGAAGAGAAATAATTAAGATTAGAGCAGAGATCAATGAATTAGAAACCAGAAACACAATAGATCAGATCAACGAAACTAGAAGCTGGTTCTTTGAAAGAATTAATAAGATAGATAAACCACTAGCCAGACTTATCCAAAAGAAAAAAAGGACCAAAATTAATAAAATTATGAATGAAAGGGGAGAGATCACGACTAACACCAAGGGAATAGAAACAATTATTAGAAATTATTATCAACAACTATATGCCAATAAAGTGAGCAACCTGGATGAAATGGATGCCTTCCTGGAAACCTATAAACTCCGGAGACTGAAACAGGAAGAAATTGACAACATGAATAGGCCAATAACCAGTAATGAGATTGAAGCAGTGATCAAAAACCTCCCAAAAAACAAGAGTCCAGGGCCTGATGGATTCCCTGGGGAATTCTACCAAACATTCAAAGAAGAAATAATACCTGTTCTCCTGAAGCTATTTCAAAAAATAGAAACAGAAAGAAAGCTTCCACTCATTCTATGAGGCCAGAATTACCTTAATCCCCAAACCAGGCAAAAACGCCATCAAAAAGGAGAATTCCAGATTGATACCCCTGATGAATATGGATTCCAAAATCCTCAACAAAATCCTAGCTAATAGGATCCAACAATACATTAAAAGGATCATCCACCACAACCAAGTGGAATTAATCCCCAGGATGCAAGGGTAGTTCAACATTTGCAAATCAATGTGATAGAACACATTAATGAGAGGAGAGAGAACCATATGGTCCTCTCAATTGATGCAGAAAAGACATTTGACAAAATACAGCATCCCTTCCTGATTAAAACTCTTCAGAGTATAGGGATAGAGGGAACATTCTTCAAGTTCATAAAATCCATCTATGAAAAACCCTAGAGTGAATATCATCCTCAATGGGGGAAAGCTGAGAGCCTTTCCCTTAAGATCAGGGACGCGACAAGGATGCCCACTCTCGCCACTATTGTTCAACATAGTACTAGAAGTCCTAGCAATAGCAATCAGACAACAAAAAGAAATAAAAGTTATTCACATTGGCAAAGAAGAAGTCAAACTCTCTCTCTTCATAGATGACATGATACTTTATGTGGAAAATCCAAAAGACTCCACCCCCAAATTACTAGAACTCATACAGCAATTCAGTAATGTGGCAGGATACAAAATTAACACACAGAAATCGGTTGCTTTCTTATACACTAACAATGCAACTGTAGAAAGAGTTAAATTAGAGAAACGATCCCATTTACAATAGCACCAAAAACCATAAAATACCTTGGAATAAACCTAACCAAAGAGGTAAAGGATCTATACTCTAGGAACTACAGAACGCTCATGAAAGTAATTGAAGAAGACACAAAAAGATGGAAAAACTTCCATGCTCATGGATTGGAAGAATAAATATTATTAAAATGTCTATGCTACCCAGAGCAATCTATACCTTCAATGCCATCCCGATCAAAATTCCAATGACATTTTTCAAAGTGCTGGAACAATCCTAAAATTTGTATGGAATCAGGAAAGACCCCGAATCGCCAAGGAAATGTTGAAAAAGAAAAACAAAGCTGGGGGCATCATAATGCCTGATTATAAGAAATACAGGCAAAAAGACACTGTAGGAATACAATTTATAAAATTCAGAATATGGGAAACTCTGTAGAGCAGATAATCATTATTCTTAAACAAATAAACTGCAAGAAAAAATTATAGGGGAACCCATAGATCTAAAAACTTCAAATGTAATGTGAAAACTTTGTTTAGGACTGATTTAAGCAAATCAACTGTAAAATATATAAAACAAAATTTGAGACAATTCTATTTGACATTGAATGAGTCTTCCATGATATTACAGAATTATTATTAAAATTTTAATTGTACTAATGATATTATAGTTATGTTCTTTTTAAGAGACATTTTACATTTTAGATATATATTCATAATTCCGAAAAGCTTACCCTTAAATATTTATCAGTAAAATAATATGGTGTCTGGTATTTACTTCACAAGAATCCAAAGGACTGGGATGACTATATATTTGTAATTGTTTATGCTAGATGATTAATATATGAGTGTCCCTTATACTAATCTATTTAATATATGCTTGCATACAAAGATTGCATATTTCAAGTGAGTTACCAAAACTTAGTACTTCTGATCTCCTGTCTGATCCTTGAAATCAATAGAGACTAAAATAACTACCCACAGAAAGAAGCATAGGACAAAGTTTTAAAAAGCAGTAATAATGGGGTGCCTGGCAGGCTCAGTCAGAAGAGCATGCAACTCTTGATCTTGGGGTAGTGAGTTCAAGCCCCACACTGGGTGTAGAGATTACTAAAAAATAAATAAACAAACAACCTTAAAAAATTAAAATAAATTAAAAATAAAAAAGCAGTAATGAAAGCACAATGCCGGCAAGTATACATAACTTCACTGTGAGAAGAAAAAGCTTCCAGAGTCTCAAATTCAGTCAGGAAGCAATGGTCAGCCTTAGCTGACTCAACTTGCTGATTGCCAAGGTGGCAGTTTGGTAAGGAAAAAAAGCCCTGGTCTAGGAGACTACCAACACCTAGCTTTGTAATCTCGGACTCACGTAACTTTAGATTTTGGAATTTGAAAGCATAGGAAGTGAAATAACAGCACGAATAATAATTGTGTTGTGAGTACTAACTCTAAGTTCTAAACTTTATAAGAGCTTTGAATGCATTATCCTCTTTCAACCGCATAACCCAACGAGGTGTTGTGGGCACTTGATATATACTTTTTAAAGGACGATTAAATGAAGGAGGCATCAATACATGGTACCATTTTGCACATGACGAGTTTAGGTTTAGAGGTGCACAAATGTTTTAGAGTCACGCACTGTGGTTGGCCCAGCCAATATTGCAGGTGAAAGAATGCTTTGAACATAACACTGCATCGGACCATAAAACAGAGGTTAGCGGACTGGGTGTGAAACTTAAAAACCGCTTCCACAGACCAACAGTTTTCCGCGGCCTTACCACACTTCACACGTCTCGGTATGACCGGTAAGGAAAACCAGCCTTTCACTCACCGCGAAGATGCTGGACCTCACATCCTGGACCTCCCGCCAAGGTTCCCGAACGCCTTCACCTCCCCGCGCCCCCCAAGCCCCGCCCCTTCACGGATCGCGCACAATTTATGACAGTCAAACTACATTTCCCATAGAACCGTTCGAGGACAGCGAACCTCCGCCGGAAGTCAGGAAGACTGAGTCCGGCGCCGGGAAGAGTGAGAGTGGGGTTTCCGGGTCTTGCGTCTATATCCTGCTTTTCTCTACTCTGGTCACCTTTGGCTTAGTAACAGCAACGACTGGTTAGTCGGCCCCGTGCCCTCCCTGGGTTGGGTGACCAGTTCTCAGTGTTTTTGATCTCAGCGCTGTTGGCCTGGCCATGCTGGGTTGTTTGGCTCAGCCTCCGGATGCGGTGAGGGTGCAGGGGCGGGAGCTGTGGGCTGGTAGCTCTGGCTCCCGGGAGAGGGTAGGGGGCGCAGCCCATGGGCTGCTAGTGGCGTTAGAGCCCAGTCCTTGAGGTGGGGAAAACGAAGGGCTACTTCAGCGTTTAAGATTCACCTTTAAAAGAAGGAGTCTCACAGTAGTGACAAAGTAAACTCTCAAGGCATTTAAATGTTTGGAGAGACCTTGCGTAGGTGGCGCTTGACTTGTTAAATGGCCACCTCGAATCCCGAAGGACATGGAATTCGTTCAATAATGGTCAGCGACTTCACTGACAGCCGTATTTGAACTCTGCCCTGTTTCTTGAACCATGTGACCTTGAGCAAGTCATGGGCCCCCAGTACACATCGGTAAAGGTGGATGTGGTTTGGTTAAAGGACCTCTCAGAATGCTCTCTGTTCCCTTTGGAAAGCAGGGGCAGCATTTTGCTAAGTGAATCACCTCATCCTGCCTTCGGATCCTTACCTTGTGGAGAACCTGTCAATGAGAAATGAAAAAGTAAATCCAGCAGTAGAGCTGGATTGCAGATTTTGTGTGATTCTCTGTAATGAGAAATGGTTGTTTCTAGATGGCTATGCTGCCAAAAAAAAAAAAAAAAAAGCTAAGGGAGAAAGTACACATTTTTCACTGCCTTTCTCCTGAGAATACTGTATGCATAAGAATTGCACTGGAGGTAGTGAACAGTACTTTATTTTTGGAGGACAGTTTTGCACTTTGTCCTGTGGAGTGGCCTGTGGGGAGGGTGAAGAAATGACTATGACCTCAGAACATGAGACAGTAAAATACTGCTTAAAGTAAACCTACCTGAAGAACCAGTGTGATATTTTGTGGAAAATCAATTCAAGGGAAAGGCAACTTGGAGGGGATACTATACATGAGTCAGTATACAGCAATGATTCAAAATCAAGTCCTGAAAAGCTGTAGTTTTGTAATTGATAATATTTGTAAAGCATTTAGAAATCTCAATATGAACAGAACAGTGAAGGAAATTCTACAGTAAAGAAATAGTTTTCTAATATAGAAGTCACTCCCCCTAATTTAAATTATAAACATATTTTCACCATTCCTGTGAGTAGTTTTTTTTTAAGCCTTTTATTTTAATCCCAATATAATGAACAGTGTTATATTATTTCAGGTGTACAATATTGTAATTCAATTCTATACACTATTGAGTGCTCATCCTGAGTATACTGTTAAATCCCCATCACCTATTTCACCCATTCCCCTACCCACCTCCCCTTTTGTGTATAGTCAAATTTGACCTTTTTATAAGTAGCAGAAAGATAAAATCAGGAAAGGTGAACAATTTTTTCAGCCCATTTTTCCCTAAATTTTGTTCATACTCCCTCTACTATATAATTGATCAGCCAAATTGCAGTGTGAGAATACTAAAGATAAGAGCAGTCAAAATGTGTGGATTATAACCTTTCTAAATAGCCTAAATATCTTATTGCTTAGAATAATAGAAACCTAGTTAGAATCCCAAATCAATCTTAAATAGCATTTCACTAAACAAAAATTCATGCCTTAAAAAAAATACTTTGTTCTCATAGACAACTTAAGCATGAACCATTTCCACAAAGAATAGATCAGTTTGTGCCCTACCACTTTCAATCCACGTTGAGACAACATTTATGAAGAGGTATGAAACATATTTTCTATATTTTTTCCTTACTGAAACAAGCGAGTAACAAAGCAGACAAAATTAATGGTTTAAAAAGCTTCTTGGATTCAAATTTTGACAAAGTGACCAAATGAACAGTGTTCAATAATAGATCCAAAATATATGGTCATCTGATTTATGACAAAGATGATAACTGCAGTGCAATGGAACAAATGGTAATTTCAAGAATGGTGCCAAGTCATATGGATTATCCACTGGGATAAAAATGTATCTTGCCCCTACTTCACACTATGAACAAAAATCAATCCCAGATGGACTGTAGAATTAATTGTGCATGGGAAAGCAATAAATTGCTTTCATGTGAAACTTAACACAAGTTTTGGAAGGCAGCTATGCTCACCACTATACCACCAACGCAGATTTAACACAAGTTTTGAATAGTCAGCTGTAAGGATCATAATTTTCCTAAGGGCAGACACCTGTCTCTGGTACCATAGAATCTAAGAGAATACTAGTCATCTGCTAAAAAACCTCTGACTTCTGCTTTAACTCCCCTCATTTCCCTGATCTATAGTGAAATCCCTCTAGTCTACTTCAGATACCTCCTCTTTGTAATGTTTGTTACCTGACACCCATTCTCAAGGATATGCCCCCCCATCTTTATTACCAAAGTTCTTTATACATTATGTTATGCATCCCATGGTGAATTATATTTAAAATTTAAATTATGTTTAAGACAATTTTTAAAGGTATGCTGTGATGACAGTTGAGTACTAATTACCTTTTGAAGAGTATATACCTTTAAAAACTATAACTATCCTAATTACACCTGTATTCAGATAATGTTCCACCATTGAACAAAGAGCAATTGCAAATGAGGGTTTTTTTTTCTATTTTCCTCTTTTTAAGGAAGAATGTCTTCTATAAAAAGAACCCCAAAGCAAGAAATAATTTCCCAGCTTCACCTTTCAGCTGCAGAAGGAGATATTGCCAGGTTAACAGTAATCCTCAGTCATTCCCCATCTCTTCTCAATGAAACTTCTGAAAATGGCTGGACTGCTTTAATGTATGCTGCAAGGAATGGGCACCCAGATGTTGTCCAACTTCTACTTGAGAAAGGGTAAACATTTTAGGCACTACTACTTGAAGGGCTCTGGTTTAATTTCTGGGTTACATATTTCCTTTTAAATTTTTCTTGTAGCCATATTTATATCATTGGGCTTGTAAATAACTCATTGACCAGTTTCATTATATAAAAACATAGCATAGTATCTAACTAAAAGCTTTTAACTTCTTTTATTGAGGGATAAATCCTTCATACTTAATAGCAAAGCAAATTTTATGAGTTAGTCTAATCTTTTTCTCCCAAATAGAAAATGTAGATCTACCCACTATAACTATCAAGAACCCCTCGTAAAATTTTAATTTCTTTTTATAACACATGAAACTTACTGTTTTTTATTTTATAATTCTCCAGAAATGTTAAATATCTACTATCTCTAACTTTTCATCATTTATGATTATTTCTTTTAACCTTCCCATTAGTAAATTATGTACTTAAAAAAATCTACATAATAATCATTAGAGGGGCCATCAAGTGCATCTGGAAATATTTTATTGTAATAAATATTAAAGAAAATGTTTATTTCCTATTTTATTTTTCTTTCCATCTATAGGTGTGACAGATCCATTGTCAATAAATCAAGGCAGACTGCACTGGATATTGCTAAATTTTGGGGTTATAAGCATATAACTAACTTACTAGCTAATGCTAAAGGTGGGATGAAGCCTTGGTTCCTAACTAATGAAGTGGAAGAATGTGAAAATTATTTTAGCAAAACACTATTAGACCGAAAAAGTGAAAAAAGAAATAATTCTGACTGGCTACTAGCTAAAGAAAGCCATCCAGCCACAGTTTATATCCTTTTCTCAGATTTAAATCCCCTAGTTACTCTAGGTGGCAATAAAGAAAGTTTCCAACAGCCAGAAGTCAGGCTTTGTCAGCTGAACTACACAGATATAAAAAATTATTTGGCTCAGCGTGAAAAGATCACCTTGGTTTTTCTTGGAGTAGAACTTGAAATGAAGAAAGAGTCTTTGAATTATACTGGAGAAGTCCCAAGAGAAGAAGAAGATGGGTTGGTTGCCTGGTTTGCTCTAGGTATAGATCCTGTTGCTGCCGAAGAATTTAAGCAAAGACATGAAAATTGTTACTTTCTTCATCCTCCAATGCCTGCTCTTCTGCAATTGAAAGAAAAAGAAGCTGGTAAGAAGTGAACATGGTTTACCTGTTGGTAATAATTACCTGTTGGTGGTAATCTGGTTTTTGGAACTGGGTTGGAGTTATACATCGTATCTTCATTTTCTAGGAGGCACACTTTTTTCAGTAAGCAATGAAATTAGGCTGTCTTCATTAGACCTTTCCTAAAGTTCTCATTCTAGGGGACTACTCTCCTGAGCAGTTACAGCAGTTTTAATCAGCCAAAATTAGTTTCCCCAGAGTTAATCCTAATGCATGCTTGTTTTATTTGATTCTTCAGTGAGTAATTATTGAGCACCTGCTATACACTGAGCATGATGTCAAAGACCTTGACTATTTTCTGTTGCAGGGTATGCTAGTTCATGTGAGGCCCTGTATGCCGTGGTTTTATTCTAAATTCCATTTAAATGTTGTAACCCAACCTATGGTTTAAAAAGAAACAAAAACCGTCACTCTTCCTGCTTTGTAGATCATGAATTCTAGGTAATTAAATATGAAATCAGAAGTCTTGTTAAGAGGGGATTTGAGATTACAGTAGCTAAGGTAAAAGGTTGCAGTGGATTGGGTTGATGGAGAAAAGGGGAGAGTTTGAGATGTTCTGGAGGTAAAACTGACAGGGCTTGATCAGTAGGTTGAGACTATTATAAGTGAGGGAGAGATGATAGTAACCTGGAGTACAGCCTGAATTAAGGTGACAATGGTAGAGATGGAGAAAAGGGTACGTTCAAGGTATATTTTTAGAAAATCATCAGCACTTGTTGATGGATTGGGTATGGGGTCTATAATAATGAAAGAAAAGATCAAGAATGATTGCTAGGTTTGAGACTTTAGTAATTTGGTGGATAGTGATACTATTTCTTGATAAAATAGGGTGACAGTTTGAGCAAGGGAAGCAGGACAGACTTGAAGTAAATAAATCGATTTTAGTTTTGGGCATGTTCGGTTTTAGAGAAGGATATTAGAATCTGGAACACAGAGGAGAGGTGTGAGTTAGAGTTACCCATATGGGAGTCATCAACGTGAAGGTGATATTTAAATCTCAGGAAACTGAGAGAGTTAAGAGCAAGCAAGAAAGCCTCAGAATCATACCTGAATCCCCCTAAATTTTGAGGTCAGGTAGAAAAAGAGGAGCCATCAAAGGTGGCCATAAGGTAAGAAGAAAACAGGAGAATATGCTCATGAAAATCAGAGAGCAGGGTATTTCTTTTTTTAATTATTATTATTATGTTAATCACCATACGTTACATCATTAGTTTTTGATGTAGTGTTTCATGATTCATTGTTTGCATATAACACCCAGTGCTCCATTCGGTACGTGCCCTCTTTAATACCCATCACCAGGCTAACCCATCCCCCAACCCCCCTCCCCTCTAGAACCCTCAGTTTGTTTCTCAGAGTCCACAGTCTCTCATGGTTCCTCTCCCCCTCGGATTTCCCCCCCTTCATTACATTACATTACATATATTGAATGCTGTTGAGAATTTGAATAAGATAGACAAAGATTTTTTCTAAGGATCTTTCGTTTTGGTAATATGAAGCTGTTGATGAATTTGACAAGAGGGGTATCAATGGAGTGGAAGGAATATAAGCTAATTATGGTAGACTGAAAGTTAATGGGAGGTAAGGAAGGGGTCACTTGTCAATGTCCACCTTCCCTTAGGAGATGTGTGGTGGGCCCTTCCAGAGAATGATTAGATTATCTCATCCCAGAGTCTGGATTGGTATGTTTTATTCTCCACATCTATGGAGAAAACATTGCACTTTTTAAGAAAATATATTTTCTTTGTAGCTATAATTTTAAGATCAAAAGGATCTCTCTCTCTTTTTACTAGTAAGAAAACTGAGGCCCTTTTATTCACTTGCTTGGTAAACTTCCACAGTTAACCTCTTTGTGCCTCAGTTTCCTACTCTAGAAACAGAGGATAATAATAGTACCTACATCATAGGATTGCTCTAAACATTAAATGAAGTAACCCATTGAGCTATGTAAATATTTTTATTTATTTCACATAAAATATATTTGTATTATTTGTCATTCATACTATCCATCCATACCACACTGCCGTCTGTATCAGGTAGTCCAATAGAAATATACCTGTTTTGTTCTTCATAAATAAATAAATAAATGATACATATAAAGCTATTTGCATGATGCTTCACACATAGTTGGTACTCAATAAATATTAACTTTCTTATTGAAACAATATTGAAATAATGTAGATAGCATAAATTACGTATTACAAGGTAACATAGCAGGGAAATATTTAATGTTGCCTATGGTTTGTTGAATTTCAGTATTAATTTGTTTTTATGTATGGTTTATTTTGTTTTTTGCAGTTTAAAACATTGTTATTGTTTTTTGTGGTTATTTTGCTTTTTTTTTTTTTCCAAAAATCCTTAAACCAAATAATGTATTTTAATGAGAACAAGTTTGTCAGGCAAATGCATATGTAACATTTCTAGTTTTATTGCTTCAATTATAACATTTCTGGTCAGGCCATATTCTTTTTTAAAGTACCAGGGTAAAGGCTATAGCCAAAGTATATATATATTGTAAGATTTATTCTAGTAGGCATTTTTTTCATGAATAAAGTTAACCATGAATGTTATAAATAGAGTATTTTATTAATATTCTATGCAGTTTCCAGTTGTAAACAGGTATGTTTCACAGTGACATGGAGCAGTAGTGGTTTAGGCACCCAGGAAAGGAGAATTCCTGCAGTTTCCTATTAATATTTTCTTTATAGTCCAAGTCTAAATCAGGAAGTGGCTGCATAGTGTATTTTTTTTTTAAGATTTTATTTATTTGACAGAGCACAAGCAGCGGGAGTGGCAGGCAGAGGGAGAGGAGAAGCAGGCTCCCTGCAGAGCAGGGGAGCCCGATGTGGGACTCGATCCTAGGACCCCAGGATCATGACCTGAGCCAAAGGCAGTCACTTAAGCAACTGAGCCACCCAGGCGCCCCGCTGCATAGTGTATTTTTATAAACGTCACTATTGTAAAGTCAGGATTTGTAAAATCACTATACACTAGAATCTTGTGTATCCAAAATTTAAAAATCACCTGTAGTAAAAGCCTGAGCTAATTTAGTATATAAGATAGGTGTGCTGACATCTATCTTATATGAGAGTTATATTTGATTAGTTCAAATTAAAGTTAAATCAAATTTTCATGTCATCTTTGGATTAAATATTTTACTTCAAAAGAAATATACATCATAAAAAGAGGAATACAAAAATTCTTGATTATGTTGCTATTCAGAAAATATAGTGTATGCCTTGACTTGTGAACATTTTACTTTGATATTAATTTGTTTACAGTTTATCACAGAATTAAAACTTTTTATGCTTTTCTTAAAGGGGTTGTAGCTCAAGCAAGATCTGTTCTTGCCTGGCACAGTCGATATAAGTTCTGCCCAACCTGTGGAAGTGCAACTAAAATTGAAGAAGGCGGCTACAAAAGAGTATGCTTAAAAGAAGACTGTCCTAGCCTCCATGGTGTTCACAATACATCATATCCAAGAGTTGGTAAGCCTTTTCCTTTATAGTGAAATCTCAGCCATCTGGAATCTTAGGGAATAAGACATTCTGGGAAGACAAGGTTTTGAGTTGTTGAGGGGTTTACCTTTTTATTAAAAGCATATTTAATATAACTTAAGACTATAAGTATTAAAGTAGTATATGGTTTCATGACTTTTAAGTAAGGGACATTGTACATAATTAGCCTTTTTTTTTTTTTTTTAAGGTTTTATTTATTTGTCAGGGAGAGAGAGCACAAGCAGGGGGAGCTGCAGGCAGAGGGGAAGCAGACTCTCTGCTGAGCAGGGAGCCTGATGCGGGGCTCGATCCCAGTACCCTTGGATCATGAACTGAGCCAAAGGCAGATGCTTAACTGATTGAGCCACCCAGGCATCCCTAATTAGCCATTTCTTAACTCTGAGTTAATCAATATGAATTTGATGTGTTAAAATACATGATTTCAAAAGTCTACCATTCTGGGTCCACTTAGTGCAGAGACAAAAAAAAAAAAAAAAAAATACCCCAACAGTTCAGTGCCTGTTCAAGGCATCACCAAAGCAATACAGTGTGGAGCTAGCTTTACATCACTGCTGTTGTCTGCCTATACCTTCTCTCCTTCTAATTGCTGCATTGGAGTCTTCTGTAGGTTTGGAAATCTGAGAACCTAATCCTTTAAAACTTGTGAAAAAATAATAGATAAACTGAGCAATACCTGAAGAAGTCTCCTGAGAGTAAAATGCATGGCTTTGTGATACCTGGTTTCACTGCTCAGGAGCCTTTTACATTTGATTCCTGTTTTCAGTCATGCTCTAGTAAGGAGAATTCACTGCATTAATGACTTCTGGGAAATAAACTTATTTAATTTAAATTTTATCTTTTTAATGGCTTAAACTTAGTCATAGAGCCACATTAGCTTTTAAAAACTTTTGTTCAGGGGGTGCCTGGGTGGCTCCGCTGGTTGAGCGACTGCCTTCAGCTCGGGTCATGATCCCAGGGTCCTGGGATCGAGCCCCACATCGGGCTCCCTGCTCAGTGCGAAGCCTGCTTCTCCCTCTCCCACTCCCCCTGCTTGTGTTCCCTCTCTCTCTGTCTCTCTCTCTCTGTCAATTAAATAAATAAATAAAATATTTTAAAAAATAAAAACTTTTGTTCAGGATTGGGTTGGAAGGGAGAGGAAAATTCACATTTACTATTGTAAAATTTGTATTTTCTTCATGCCATATAATACTGTGGGGGTGCCTGAGTGGCCCAGTCATTAAGCGTCTGCTCAGCAGGGAGCCTGCCTCTCCCTCTGCCTGCAGCTCCCCCTGCTTGTGCTCTCTCTCTTTAAAGCACTCTGTCAAATAAATAAAATCATTAAAAAAATACTTTAACTTTTTTATAATTAAAATATATGCCTAGCATACCATAAATATATAATAAGTGTTTTGTTTTTTTTTTAAGATTTTATTTATTTATTTGAGAGAGAGAGAATGAGAGACAGAGAGCATGAGAGGGAGGAGGGTCAGAGGGAGAAGCAGACTCCCTGCCCAGCAGGGAGCCCGATGCGGGACTTGTCCCGGGACTCCAGGATCATGACCTGAGCCGAAGGCAGTCGCTTAACCAACTGAGCCACCCAGGCGCCCAAGTGTTTCTATTAAGAAGAAGACAAAATTGGTCTTCCTTTAGTGTACAATACTCTATGCAATTTCCCTGAAATATTCTGTCATCAGGCAGAAAGAAACAATCTCATAATTAGACAAGAGTCTTGTTGTTATAGGAGATAAGCCTTTTATTATATTATTTGACAGTGACTTTACACAATGAGTCTAAATTATTTTTTCCTATCATTCATTCATCTGATTTTTTTAAAAACAGATCCAGTTGTAATCATGCAAGTTATTCATCCAGATGGGACCAAATGTCTTTTAGGCAGGCAGGAAAGATTTCCCCCAGGCATGTTTACTTGCCTTGCTGGATTTATTGAACCTGGTAAGCCTTTTCTTAATAATTTTAATAATAATCTTCCTTTAACTTATAATTTCCAAATAAAAATTTTAGACAGCATTTGACAAATTATCATGCTATGAAACTGGGGTATTTTTAAATATTTTCTGTATATTTTAAGTGATATAATATTTGTTTTTACTAGCAGAATAATTTTGTCTGTTTTAAAAATTCAGCATTTCCTCTTTCATGTATTGCTATTACCAAAGTATCTGCATGACTTACACCTCACTTTCTTCTTTACTAGACCCAACTGTGTCACCTTTTAGGGGTCTTCCCAGATAGCCCCAAATACATTAGTTAGCATCATACCCTGCATTCATAATTCTGTCATCCTGCCTGATTTTTCCCGATAGTGCTCATTACCACCTGACATGTATGTATGTATGAATGTATCTCTGTATTTATTATTTGATGTATGTATGTATGTATCTATTTATCTATCTACTCATTTATTATCTGCTCATACCAGAAAGTAAGTTGCATAGGGGTGGGACTTTATTTCACTCATCATTGTAGCCCACACCCTTAGAGCAGTGCCTTATATGTAGTAGGAGTTCAATAAATATCTGTGGAATAAGTGATAATATACATGTTTAATCTTAACTTCCAGTATTAATCTGCATTGATAATAGTAGTACTAAACATACTTTGTGCCACACTCTGTTTTGAAGGCTTTCCAGATACTCAATCATCTGACCCTCATACAGCCTTATAAAGTAGGTACTATTACAGCAGTTTTACAGCTAGGGCACTAAGGTCCAGGGGCTGACTCACTTGCCCAAGATCAAACAGCTAATCAGTGATAGGGCAGGGATGCAAACCTGGGCAGTTTGGCTGAGTCCATGCTCTTAATCACTATGCTGTCTCTAATAACTCTAGGCCGTTTTTTTTAACTGCTATGTACCATTTTATTTATAAATACTCTTCAATTCATCCATTCTGTTGTTAGACAATTAGTTTATATCAGTTTTTGCATTTGCAAACAACACTGCAAAGAATATTCTTATTCTACTCCTTGTGCACATTTGCAAGAGTTATCAAGGGTATATACTTGAGAGTAGAATTGTTAGCTCGTAGGATATGAGCATCCTAACCTTTTGTAGACATTGCCAAGTTGCTCTCTGAAGTGTCCCTACCAATTTACACTATTTCTAACAGCACATGAAATGTTTTATTGTTCCACATCTTCACCAAGTTAGGATTTTCATACTTTATAATTTGCCATTCCAATAGTTATGAAATAGTGTCATTGTAGTTTTCATTTTCATTTCCCTGCTGATGGAGCATCTTTTTCACATATGTTTTAGGCATCCGATTTTCATTTTCTCTGAATTTTACATGTTTATATTCTTTGCCTAATTTTGTTTGGTTGTTTATCCTTTTTTCTCATTTTAGGAGTTTTGTAGAACGTATTATATGCTACTCTTTAGCTATGGTCTTGCAAATATCTTAACGCCAGTCTGTGACTTACCTTTCCACTATATTTTTTTGGTGAACATAAGTTGTTAATTTTAATATAGGAAATAGAGCAATCTATTTGAAATAAAAAGCTGTATTTAAATAATAAAATATTTCTAAACTTTCAGGTAAATTTACAAACCATTGCCTTTATTCTGATTCTCAATTCCAACAAATCAGAAATAAAAAGTACATTTCTAGGCACTATACTTTACCATACCTGAGTCAATAGTCATCTAGAAGAAAAAAATCATTTAGAAAGAAAAAATACTGTTTCATCTTAAGTGTTTTTTAAACTTTTAGTGTTTAGTTTTAACTTTTTTTGAGAAAAGTTATCTGCAATAATTGTTTGACAACATAAAAAATTTCAAAATTTTAGTAAGGAGAAGGCTAGCCATTTATAAAAATCTTGGAATGATTTGTAACTATTTAGTGATAATACATAAATGAGATAATACATAAAATGTTTGCATAGTGTTTAGCTAATAGCAGGTGCTGGATAGTTGTAGATGTTACCATTTTTACACTCTAATCAAAAAATTTGGACCTTCAAGAAAAGTTTTCCGGCATTTTGATTATGTCTATGGTCATATACTTTAAGAAATAATGTTTTTTTTTAATTCCAGTCTAGTTTTAGGCTTCTGCTTTCTCATTCTTTGAATTGGGTTTCTGTCCAAAGTGATTTCCAAATGTTTGAACCATTCGGAGCACAAAATGTCCAAGGCATGTTCATCAGCTACTTGTTCTTTTGCCCCATTTGATTAGGAGAGACAATAGAAGATGCTGTTCGGAGAGAAGTAGAAGAGGAAAGCGGAGTCAAAGTTGGCCATGTTCAGTATGTCTCTTGTCAGCCATGGCCAATGCCCTCCTCCTTAATGATTGGTTGCTTAGCTGTGGCAGTGTCTACAGAAATTAAAGTTGACAAGAATGAAATAGAGGATGCCCGCTGGTTCACTAGAGAACAGGTGAAGTTCAATTTAATTTCCTTCTTCTATTGATTGTTCTCTGACTGTATCAGTTTGGGCATGCAGCAAAGATACATGTTTTCACCAAGTTGAATGAATGCATATGGCCCACCCCTCATGCATGGATTACAATGTAATTGATGTGTCCTATGTTAACTCATTCTGTGGGGTTCTTCTAGTTGATGATTCTGTGCCATTTTCTAATTTCAAATGCCATTCCTTCAGATTAATGATACTTTTCAATGGACTTAAAATAGGTAAACATTATTTCAAAGATGAGAGACAGGAAGATTTTTCTTAGACATTTTGTATTTTAGTTTACAGCACTAAAACAGGTAGCTCTCAAAAAATAGTAAAAATGCTTAAAATTTTTGAAAAGTTCTTGTTCATTTTAAAATGTGCTTAAGGACAAGAATAACAAAACTATATAGCAAAGATACACTCACAAGAACTTTTTAAAATGTCATCCTTCAGTAGTATAATGAAAGATAAATTACTGTTTGTGTTTTGCTTAACCCAAAGTATTTGTATAGAAAACAAATGGATACACTATTAGTAGTGAAGACCTGAAATCCTTTCTGACTTTGCCTAAACAAAATTTTTTTATTTTATACTCAACTTCAAAAAGTAGAAATTAAGTGTTTTTTAGAATTTTATAAAAGGGAACCTCTTGCAAAAGTTGACGTTACTTTGAAAATAAGTGTGGAGTGTGTACTTTTCTTTTTCATGTCCTTATTTTCATTAAGGGAATATGCCTTTCTGGAATTTTTTTTTTTAATTGATTCACTAACTCATTGAATCAACTAAAAATACTGTACTAAATTTTGCATGTTGAACATGGATGTTGTCACTTTGTACTGTTATTCGCTGTAAAATCAACACATTTTAGTTAAATTGTAAAAGCATAGAAATAGTATTTAAGTATGACAGTGTTAAAATCCTAATACATTTTATTATGGTGTATTTTAGGTTGTGGATGTTCTGACCAAAGGGAAGCAGCAGGCATTCTTTGTGCCACCAAGCCGAGCTATTGCCCATCAGTTAATCAAACACTGGATTGGAATGAACCCCAATCTCTAAATCAAATAACTAGACTTTGAGTATTAATTGAATTCTAATAACTTATTCCTCAAGTGAGATTAGAAATACTTAGTGCTCTTTGGAATGTCACAACACAAAATATCATATTAGGTTTCGGAAATATTTTCAACATGTACTTTCCATCTTAACCATAGAACTTGTGTTTTTATAAATTACAAGACTGCCTCAGATTTTGTTAAAACCCAAGTCAGCCTCTCCAGATACTTTTTTGGTTGTGCTCCACAATTCTATCTCACAAAACCATATTTCTAATAAGAAAAATCATGTTGTAAAGACGTATATTCTAAAAATGTAAACAAACAAAACAATGTAAACAAACCTAAATTCCACTGCCTCTTTTAAGCATTAGACCAATCACTAAAGTTCTATTCTTGAGAAACCAGGCAAAATAATTTTAATTAATTTTAAGCTTCATTTCCAGTCTTTTCATTACCATAAAGGTTCGTTCAGGCATCAGTAGCTGATTTTTGCTCACTTCGCATTGTATTCCACTTTTTTCTCCTGGTTTCATTGTTCTAGCAGTGGTGCTGTTATAGTCCTGCCACTCGTCTGTTTTGATCAGTGTTAAGAATTTTCTACTTTAGGCACCTGGGTGGCTCAGTTGGTTGGGCGACTGCCTTCGGCTCAGGTCATGATCCTGGAGTCCCAGGATCAAGTCCCACATCGGGCTCCCTGCTCGGCGGGGAGTCTGCTTCTCCCTCTGACCCTCCTCCCTCTCATGCTCTCTGTCTCTCATTCTTTCTGTCTCAAATAAATAAATAAAAATCTTTAAAAAAAAAAAAAAAAGAATTTTCTACTTTAACAACTTTGCTGATGATCAGAATACCATGACTTCATGAAAGGAGAGTTTAAATGAGAGCATACCACTATGAATGGGACCTCCTCCTTAAACCTAAAATCAATTAATATGTATAATTATCTGTTACACTCAAAAGTTGTTTTTAAGAAAAATCAAAACTCTGCTTTTTCACTGAAATTAAATGTATTTGAAAGGAATTCTCCTCAAAGATCAGATGTTAAATATTTCCCAGATAGATTTACATATTCAGTAAAAACACTGGCTTTATGTCATTTTGTGATAAGGGATTTATCTGCATTTGCAAAAAGTTATGTAATCATTACTAATTATATTTATTAAACTCAAATGCAGTATTTTGATTTTGGCCTTATTTTAACACATCCTAAGAAGTCTTTATAAAATAAGTATATCTTAGAACTGAATCAGTAAGATTCAGAGAAAAGTAAATTGTAGTAATTCACAGTTTTACAATATAGAACTGTCATATTTTATAAGGCTGTTTTGAAATTGTTTTAAAAGTCTGTAAATGTATAAATTTATATAATTTGGCTCTTTATTATTTTATGTTGGAACTGGAAGAGACCTTAAGGATAATATATGTAGTTTAGTGACCTTCTCTTATAGATAAGGAAAGAGAAATCCTGAGAGGTGAATTTAATTAATCCATTAAAGTTGAATCAATTAATTAATTGATGAAAGTTACACAATTACAACTTACCATTGTTCATAAAATTAGTTGTAATTATAGTTAAAAACTTAATTTTAACAATATAGCCTAATGCAGGACTCTCCCTCTAATAGGAAGTAGAAACTACTACTAAAAATATAGGTAGAATAAATTAAAATAAGTGATGATAAGAATCCATTTAATTTACCAATACTGTTAATTAAAATTTTAGATACTAAAATCTAACTTAAATATGATAATTTTCTTAGATAAAACTTTATTTTACTAATAAACAGTGATTTTCTTAGTAACTGGTGAAAGCTTATTGGTATCAGGTCTTTAGACAAAATTGACTTACATTGGATATTTAGATACATAATAAAATTTTAACTACATAAGTACATAGGAAATTATGTGCCTTGATTATTATGAAGTATGATGACTTGAGGTTCAGTTTTACTCCAAATTTACTTAGAGATTCTAAGATTACATCATAAAGTTCCAGGTTTCCATTTTCAGATAACAAAGTGAAATATAAAATATCAACAAAATGTAGTTATAAATTTAGTTTTGGATATTTAATCCTATTCTCAGGAAAATCAGTAAGTAAATTATTGTTGTTAATAATCATTCTTAACATTGCTAACCTCTGAGAGGTGAATAGCTACATGTAAATAGAAGGAATAGCAAAGAAATTTTAGAGGTCAAGTGCCATGAATGTATTCTAATGGAAGTGAAGGTAACAATATATTAAAATATCTATTTTCTGTTTTGTGTGTTACGTATTTTTTAATATGTTTTGATAAATGTTTCTGAAAAATGAAAAAAGCCAAATTTCAGTCATCCTCCCCTATATAATGATGTGTAAACAAAAAGTACAAAAGCCCTTTTAAAAGTAGTAATATCTGGAAGACTTAAATCTTTAAGCTATACATATATATGTATATATACACACACACAAACTTACATATATACATACATATATATACAGTCAATTTTTCATCATCAGATTTGAAGTTATATGTCTACTTTCTATTTTTATTACTTGTTTCAAAATACTGGTCTTTGCATTTTGAATTTTTCACTGTTTATTGTTCATGGAAGGGCTAAAAGAATTAGCACACATTTCATTTAGTTGGAAAAATTATGAAGTAACTCTTTCAAAGATCATGTTAGAGATTTGGATGAGGACAAAAGAATGGAAAAACAAAGGGTGAGACCATGAGGTGGAAGGAGAGAGTATGTTTGTTAATAAGCCAAATAAACTTGATTAAATCTCATATAACAGTAGACAGCTGGTTCTAGAACTGTGTTGCTAATGTATATATAGCAAAATAGTAGGTGTACATGTTCTATAAAACAAATACATTAATTATTTAGAATAAAATTTCCACAACACAAATTTTATTAAAGATGAGAGCCAACTATTAGGTTCTGAATATATACATACATACATGTATGTGTATATATATATATATATACATATATGTGTGTGTATATATATATTTTCAAGCAAGGTAGGAGTAATGGGTGTTGAAATTTATGTATGTGCTGTGCTTAAAAGGTCCAGTTTTCTCTAGTAGAAAAATACCTAGGACAAAGTAATCCAAAGTGCAAAATTAAGAGTATCTGTCTATAAATGTAAAAGAGCTAGGTCTTGGGGCAAAACCAGAAGTCCTTGCAAATGGGTTGAAAAAGAGGGCAAGAGAGTTTGACTTCAATGCAGGTGGAGGGCTCTCAATAAGGGGTTCAAATGCTAGGGAGCTTTGACATAGGGACAGATGAGAGACACAAGAGGGTGTATTTCAAGGAGAGAGGGATAATGTCGCCAGAGCCTGCATCCTCATAACGTTTTACCACTCAGAAGAGAAATGGAAAGGAGTTTCTTTGTGAAAATAAACTCAATGCTGAAAATGATATTTCCCCCTATTCTACGCCTTGTCCTTTTTCTTCCCAGGACACTCAGGTGGAAATCAGAACAGCTTCTGTAAGAGCAAGCACAGTTTATTATCATCTACAATAGGTTTTCAAATGGTTCGTTTTATTTGCCCAAAGTAGAAGGGTCAAAAGGAAAGTTATTCAAGTAATAAAGATGGCATATGAAAAATGGGTAATCAGAAGCCTGAGTTACTTTATTTGGGAGACATTTTTTCAACTATAAAACAAACATTTGGACATGTTAATTGGGTTAACAGGCAAATTCCTCATTCTATTTTTACTGAAGGATATCTACATATAATTGTACTTATTGGTGGAAATAGCACTTTCAACTTTTCTTTATACCTTCAAGAATACTGTTTCTCTTTTATTGCTCAGCACACAACGCCATAGCATTGGACAATGGATATTTCTCCTTTTCACAATTCCCATTGTAATGATGCTGTACAGAATAGTGGGGGCAGCTGTAAAATTTTAAAACCGATTTTAAGTTTAAAAAGAAGACTTTCTGCTAATGGAAACTTTTTTTCTCACTAGAAGTCTGATAAGGGACAGACAAAATATAGCATAAGGAGCAAAAAAAATATCCTGGCTTTCCAGTCCTTGGCTCATGGAAACTATACCAGACCAACTCTTTGTCTCACCCTGATGGATTAAGAACATTCTAACCACTTAACTTGTGAGGTGGTTTCATTTTTAGTGATGTGAAAGTTCCACCCAGAAGTAGAAATTGAAAACAGTACTTGTATTATTTTAGAACAGCCAGCATAAATGGATAAGTGATGTCTGAAATTTATTTTGTTTTATTTTTTTTTTATCCTGTCCATTTTACTCTACCCTGAAATTGTAGTCTATTGGAGCAGTGTGATGTTTTGAACACCTCAGTAGAGTATCTTATAAATATTTATACTGCTTTCAGGTAGCAGTGAGCTGAAGTCATCTCTATCAGTGGGGCTAGAAACAATTTAAAATGCCATTTATCCAGTGGCTTTGCTGCTAAGGTTTATTTTGCTTTTTTGCTGGATTTACTTGTGTTTATGAAACAAGTTTGAGTACTCTAATGCCAGTTTGGAGGATTTGGAACTCCAAATAAGAAGCCCTAATGACATGTACACATTCAAACCTCAGGGGCTGCCTTGGTCCTGACCATCATCTGCTCTGCATTGTAGTGAAGTCTTCACTGGGAATGTAGTGAACCCTGTGTGTTATGGGAGACACTGTCAAGGATGAAAAGGAAATATGCATGTATCAGTGTGGACCTCAACGTTTTCATGGCTGTACAGGTGTCTAATAATTATTATTTCAGAAAAATACTCTTATTTTACACATAATACTAGGTTTGTCATATTGCTCTTTTTCTTTAGTTCCCAGCCATTTTATACATCCTCATGAATAATAAATGTTTTTCACTTTATTATGATGATATATCATAATATTCTATATGATAATAAATCCTAGTATTCCTTAATGATTTATCATCATTCTGTTAAGATGATCATATAAAATACATTGTTTTGTTTTACACCATGAAGAGGGTAGGAATATTCTCCTTGTTCAGTATCTCTAACATTAACACTGGTAAGTTGTAGGTTTAATTCAAATCCAGATTTCTGAACTTTGTAAAAATTATTTGTTGCCTTTTCTCTCCCAACGTATTTCTCAGAACTACTTATGGATCCCTATTTACAACAAACTCCTAAGAAAATGTAACTCTTTGGTTAGGTTATTCTCATAATACTATTTACATAGGACTTTATATATAAAATGTTGACAATTATTATTTCTTTTTATCCTTACCCCTATGAAATGAATGTCAATATCATTATCCCCATTTTACAGCTGGCTAAGAAGGGGTTAACTTTATCAAAGTCACATTGTGAATAAATAGGAGAGCCAAAATTTGAACCCAAGTATTTCACTTCAAATCCTTTCATCTTTCCACTTACCAGAGCTACCTTACAGAATTTTCTTAATAATGCTGCATTGAGAACTTACAATCTCAAATTTCTCTCTCAGTTCCTTAAATTTTGGTCATTTTTCAGGTTGGACCTTATATTCTTGTTACTCTGGACATTTCTGTAAGACCTTCACTACTTGCTTAATTAATCAGATTTCTATCTCCTGCTATCAGACATTCCTACTGGGACATCTCACTGCCTCCCAAATACTACCTGTGTACAATTAAATTATCTTTTATCCCAAGTACATTCCTGCTTCTAGTCACCTATTTTAATAATCTTGCAATTTCTAATATGGAACTTTTGGGTATTATCCTTATTGTCTACTTTATTCCTTATCCTACCCCACCCTGCAGCCAAGCAATCTCCAAATCCTATTGCTTTTAGTTCTTTCATACTTCGTCTCAGCATCTTCTTCTCTTTCCTTCTCTCTACTTCTTAATATTTATTGAATCTTAATACTTCTTGTCTCTCTGTCCATTGCCACCATCTGAACTCAGGCTATTAGTCTGGTTTCTACATTAGGTTCTTAAATTGGTCTCCTGACTTCAGGTTTCACTCCCAATTCATTCTTCACAATGCAGCCAAAGAGATCTTGCTAAATTCTTCAGAAAGACTCCCCTTTGGACAAAAGATCAAGTCCAATGTCCTTAGTATAGCAATTTACCTCTGCAGTTTCAACTCTGATCACTTCCCTTGTTCCAGCCTCATATATATCACAATTTATGTGTTTGCAGAAAGCCACAGAACTTTTTAAATTTTTATTAGGCATTAATAAGAATCACCTAAATAATTATGAGCAATATCACTACTTTAATAGAAATGTCTCATTTAAAGATTCTAAACTCTATCTCTAAATTAATTTCATCTGCATCTTTCATAGGATTTCAAAAATTCTAAATCATGGTCTATATTATTAATCCCAGTTTTACAAATGAGCACATTGAGTCTAAGAAAATTCAAATGAGGGCGCCTGGGTGGCTCAGTCCTTTGGGTCTGCCTTCAGCTCAGGTCATGATCCCAGGGTTCTGGGATCAAGTCCCACATCGGGCTCCTGCTCGGTGGGAAGCCTGCTTCTCCCTCTCCCACTCCCCCTGCTTGTGTTCCCTCTCTCGCTGTGTCTCTGTCAAATAAATAAAATCTTCATAAAAAAAAAAAGGTCAAATGACCCTCAAAATCAACATAGGATATGGAAATGTGATTCAAATTTAAATCTTCCTAATCAAAATCTACAACCTCTGCCACACCATACACCCCATACCATACACCAGACTGTTTCTGCCCCTGTATCTGTCTCACAAAGAAAAATGTGTTACCTTATAATTAACCCCACCAGTGTCAAGAGCGAAACTAGATCATTTATTCCTTTTTATTGGGGGGGGTGGTTCTTCCACTCCATTTACACCACATGAACATCATAGCCATGTTTTGAAGTACCCCTATCCAAACTCCTAGGCAACAAAAGCACACAGTATATCATTGTTCACTAAAGGTATATTTGAAAACCAACAGACTGTTAGGAATGGTTAAGACAGATAATAATAGACTGATTAAAGGATGGTAGATCATTCCTGACACTGCATAAGATTAAGTATGCTAATCAGATTTTGGATTTAGACAACCCAGATAAATCCCAAGTAGAACAAGAGGAAGTATTCAAATCTTACTTCCTTTTCTTGTTTTTCAAAATACATCTTTGTGTTTTATCTATGTCTCCTTCAGAGCTGAGGAATTATGAAGGCTTTACCCAGGTGAGTTGATTATATGTTCTTTTTACTTTCTCCTTTTTTTTTCTTTTGCTGTTTTGAAAGAAGTATCCTCTATTTTAATCCTTGCTGTCCTAGATTAGTTGCCTAGCAAAGGATGATAGC